AGTCACTCACCATGCGGGGTTCTGTTGCTTTGGGGGCAGATTAAGGGACAGAATGGTAAGCACAGGTGTGTGGAAGGTATAAAATAGTACTCACCTCGATTTAATGCGATTTACACTGGGTTACTGAGGGTGTAAGAAGAGAAGAGGGTGGGTGGTGGAACGAAGGAGAGAAGGAAAATTTATGGGAGGGTGGCATGAGACCTTGGCTGACTCAGACGATCGAGGTCAATTTACTTCCGCTTTCGACTTGGGATAATCTTCACCGATTTATTTGATTTTAGGCTCGTTCGAAAGCGCTTTTTCCATCGATTCTAACGGTTCTAGCCGTGTAAAAATCCGTGCATTATTCGTGGAGGTACGGGCGGGACAATGGGAGGTATGTCTGTGGGCGGATCAAAGGTGTCCCTGGTGGATCGGGTGGCCTGGTCGGCGGTTTCCTCCGGTGTTATACCAATTTTCCAGACGGAACTAACCCCCTGAACAGCCTCTTGTAAGCCCTTCCTCAACGCATACGTATATGAGGGCTGAATGACATGATAGACACCTATCTACCTCAAGTATACCTGTGTGTGGAACAAATCGGTGTGCGTGATTATAATAATGACGTCATTGCCCTCTCGATTGGGGGCGGTTTTAAACGTTCAAGCCTCAGGTCTATCGCCCAAAAGATGGATGAGCTATGGCCATTTTCGTCGCACCGGAGGACTTTATACTCACCAGAACTAATGCTTCGATTGCTTTGTAGCCTCTAGTCAATGGGGTTAGATTATTGTTTGGGTTTGCCTTTTTTCTGTATTCCCTCCTTGAATTGTGTCGTCCTTAGCCTGAACGATATCTGTACCCTTACCTGTGGGGACACCTCGCTTGAAGTGGCTTGGGCGCTTTTTTATTAAGCGCTTGTCGGACCGAATCACCGATCTCGGCCGTTGATCCGCCGGGCCTGAACGATTGGCACCGCGGACCCTATTCTAGTTGTTGGTTTCTACCCCATCAGCTCGTTTGAAACCACTGCACCATTACAGGAGACGGGGGTGAGTATACAGGGCAATGTAAATTGTTACTTAATATAACTGTATAGCTACTTACAGTTATAGAGGCTGTGATGGACTAGAGGGTTCCATGGTAGGGGTTAACGAGTGGGTTAGTAAATGGATTGACATAACTTAGGTTACAAAGAGGGTACTAGGAGGAGTCACGGTTTCAACCCTTACAGATATTTGGAAACCGTGAAGGGTACTCAATGCGATGTTGAATGTAGTTGGAAGGGAATTTGAGGTACAGCCTGGGTACGACGAGGTACTGCGTAAGGTACTTCGAGGGTATGATAAGGTACTTTGAGGGTACGATAACGTACTTCAAGGTACTTTGAGGGTACGACAAGGAACTCTGAGGTACTTCAAGAGTTAGATGGTTTCTATTCGTATGTAAGTATTGAAACCCTAAGACGAGGTACTGCGGGTACTGCGGAAGGTACTACAGGTACTCCAAGGTACTACGGGTACTACGGGTACTCCAAGGTACTCCAAGGTACTCCGGGTACTACAGGGTACTACAGGGTACTACGGGTACTACGGGTACTCCGGGTACTCCAAGGTACTACAGGGTACTACAGGGTACTACAGGGTACTACGGGTACTGCGAGAGGTACTATGAGGTACTCCAAGGTACTACGAGTACTCCAGGTACTCCGGTTACTTCAGGTACTACAGGGTACTACAGGGTACTACGAGGTACTATGAGGTACTCCAAGGTACTCCAGGTACTCCAGGTACTATGGGTACTATAGGTACTACAGGTACTCCATTAACATGGCCATGTTTTTCGGAACATAATATTAGTGTACGATTTACCGAAAAATTCGTTTTTTTTTGGTACGACGGGACGATGAACGGACGATGACGTCATTTTCCCACGGCGGACGACGGACGACGTCGTCCGTAAACATGGCCATGTTTTTCGGAACATAATATTAGGTGCATATGTTTCCCTTCACTGACGCACCACTGCTCACTTTATCACCCAGAACATCCCTGGAAAGGCCTCAGCTGTCTGGGACGGCTGGTCCTCAGCTAACCGTCGCCCATTCAGCTCTGTTAGCATTTCGTACATTGCCTCTGATGAAACCGACACCTAGTGTTGCCACAGGTCAGGTCGGTTCAGCTCAGGTCAGGTCGACATCGGGTTTGCCCAAAATGGGAACCTGAGCTGAACCGACCGTGCTTCGATGGGTTCCCAACCCGAACGAACCCTGACCGAACTGTGAACGAAGTATATTTGATCCAAAAATAGCTAACCGTAATTTATACATCATCCTCGTCGCCCAAATCATCACCCCCTGCATCGCTACTACTATCGAAGATGGGCTCTTCAACAATCCTTTGTAAATAAGTAGTGATATCATCTGGAACAGCAACTGCTGCGACCGAACGCGCCTCTAGAGCCTCTAATTCCGCCGCTTTACTGGTACCAGCTGTAAAGTCCAGATTGATTTCACTCCGAAGGGAGAATTTGAGCATTTGGAGTGCTTCCATGAGATGAGGAAGAATCCGGCTGCGGCGAGAAGTCATTGTCTCCTTGGCAGAGGAGAAAACACGTTCACATGGCACCGCAGATCCCTGAACTGGGAGAAGGTCCATCGCTAGTTTGTAGATAGTCGGATATTCATCCAAATTGTCCTGGAATCCTGGACTGAGCATGGGCAATCATAGAGACGATAGGTGTTCGTCTTACCTGCCAGAACTTCAGAGTGGTTGCAGCAGAACGGGTGTCGAGTAGGTAATCATTAACTTCGGCATCCAGGCTCCGAAATTCACGGTCGCGCATGAGGGGTGATCCAAGAACTCTATCCGCCCAGTCGTCATCGTCCACGATGGAGTTATTGGTACGGCGTGGAGGTGCAGGCGTATTGATAGCATCGGAAGCGCGATATGGCCTCAACTGAACAAGGAAACAGTGGCTTAGCATCCACAGATAACGAAAACTGGAATGAAGTACTCACCGCTTCGATAAAGGTTTCTTTGGCCCAGCCCAGGCGATCTGGATTGTACTTCCTGTACCAGGTAAGTTTGATTTTTGGGTTTATCACTAACAAGGGTTATAGACAAGCAATAACTCAAGCTCAAAGGACGTACCCATGGCAAGTGTGTATGCTGGAACGTCTTCAATATCCATAATGTATTCACGCAACTTACGAAGTCCAGCGTCGATGACATTGTGGAAATGTGGTTTCGCTGACTGTAGCTGTTCCCAGGCAGCAATCATTCGATAGAAGCTGGGGAGAGCTTGGTGAAGGGTTGGCGTTTTTTCACTCGATAATTTCTGTTGGAAAGCGTGGGGCACCTGTAGTGGTGGCATTAGGAAAATTGAGAGATCCGAATCAGAACGTCTTGCGTACCATCAAAATATCAACGTAGTGATTCAACGTCTCCCATTCTGAATTCCGTAAGGCATACCTCTTCAGTTCTGGGTTATCCGCAATCATTCGCAACACGAACTAGGGCAAAAAATATTCCGGTCACTCATGGAAGCGAAAGGGCATTGAGCGCAATCACACACCTCTTTCAATTTCACAAACCGCTCAATCATGAGCAGTGTTGAAGACCAGCGGGTGTCCACATCACGAAGTAGCTCCAACGGTTTGTCGTTTGGATATCGCGCCTGTTGAAGTGTTGCAAAGCGGTCACGACGGAGAGACGAGGATCGTATCTACAGGGCAAAAGAGTCATAAAAGTTAAATGGGAACATTAAAATTCACTTACAGCTCTAACAAGATTTCTACAGAGCGCGATCACATCGCGGTTAGGACCCTCGTCAACCATTTCAAGGGCAATCTCCATGTTGTTGTCGTCGACAGCGGCCAGAGTGATGTTGGTAATGGCACTCAGAACTGATTTACAGGCTAGGTTGGTAACGTGAGGGAAGCAACTATTTCCATTGTGACATCAGGAAAGGAGAGTGAGTGTTCCAGACCAAGTTACCTACCGCAAAGAACTTCCAAACATCGTCAGCAGCATGCCGATTTTTGTTTCTCAACCCAGAGTCCTCGGTAGAGCTAGGACCACCGGACTCAGAATCAGAGCCATCAGGAACAGTGCTCGAACGCGAGTTAGCATGAGACGCCCGCGCCCTGCTTGGACTATGAGGGCCTGCACGTGGTCGATCCAGAACGGGGGTCGCAACGCGCTCAAGCCTAGCTTGGACAGTCGCATCAGCAATAGTCGGGGGAATCGGATTAGCAGGGTCATCCAGGAAGGGATTCTGGGTGTCGTCAAGAACCGGGGTCGCATACGGAAGAGCAGCCTCAGGGCCTGCATCCAATGGAGCAGGTGTGGCGTCGGGCTGGCGTCGACTAGAAGTCCGTTGGGCAGTACGAGGAACGGGACGTGGAGGGTCTATAATTATAAAGGACAGAGTCAATACAGCGCTCACAGTAAGAAGCAGGTCAAAATTGTATACCCTCAAATGTCACAGTCATTTGAACAGCACCATTAGCATAACGCTGGATGGTGTTGCCGCCACTGGTCTTCGCCTTTGAACGAGTGTTTCGTTGAGTGGCCATTGCAAGCGACGCTGGGGAATCGAGACTGGAGCATTTGCAGACAGATACTGACACTTCTTATAGAAAAATCCGCGAGCCCTTGGACGATGCAAAACCAGATGTATATGCACGTGTAAACTATACACCCGGGCAATACATACAACGGTACAATGGCGCTGGGAGAAAACAAGGTGAAATTGGAAGTCGTGCAGCAAAATGGGGAGCGCGGGCAGATTTATTGTCGCATCGAGGCTTTCCGAGAGCTTCAACCATCGGACATTACTTCTGGATAGGGTAAGATGTATTCAGCGAGGCAAAAAAAGAGAAGTGACGAACCAAAAGAAGACGGAACTGCCCCAATATGATAGCTGCACTACCATTTCCTCCACCGCCAGTACGGCAAGAAGGAACGAGGCCAATACACAACTCTGGTAACCCTCGGCGACTCAGCCATCCTTCCATCGCAATTCAAAGGGTCCCCGATGCGCTCTCTGCTGTCTGACGCATCGTGGCCTACCATACGGCAAGGCCTTGAGAGGATTGAAACCCTAAACAGTACACGTTCAGTATGTACCCGAGGAGATGCTTTAAACCGTGTTTTACCGTTGCTCCAGGCATGTTTGGGTGATACGAGGCTCCAAATCAAATCGAGGTAGACATAGGCGATGACTGAAAGGTGTGGATCGGTGCTACAGAGGCAGGACAATGCTGGAGAGCGAGAGGAAGGGAAAACACACGGCGACGGAAATTTCTGACGCAGTGACATGCCAAATTGGGTGCTAACCCGGGTCAAGCCGAGTTCTGTACAGGTCTGCCTCCGAGCCGACCGGCATGACCCACGGACCCAAGCTTGCTTGACGGGTTGGTTCGCCAATGGGTCGGTTCAGCGGGTTACTTGGGTTTGACCCGACCTGCGGCAACACTACCGACACCCAATGGACCTTGAAGAAGAACCTCATCGAATTCAACCCTACAGCCGGTCGCCACACGGGTAGAATGATTGCGAAGGATCTCTTGCAGACTTTGAAGCGTTACAAAGTCGATTCGAAGGTAGATTGAACCTATCACATTGGTATCCCATCGCTGACCGAGTGCTGATAGCTGGGATGGCTTGTGGGAGATGGTGTGAGCTCAAACGACGTTGCCGTTCGTTATGTGTGCAAGAAACTCGACCCAACGAAGAGCCGTCTTGATCCAAAGCAAGTGCGCGTTCGGTACGTTGTCTTAGCTTCTGGTGGTCTTATCCTGCACTTACAAGACGTTTACAGCTGTATCGACCATTCAATGCACCGAGGGGCTTGTAACTTTGTTCAAGCACTCTCTATCTCGACGCATGCCCAGACGAAGACGCGAATTCATGGTCCCTCACCCAATGACAGCGATAACGAAGGCGAAGGCGAAGAGGAACAAGATGACGATGTTGATGTCTCAATGGCCATCGATGCATCTCCCGACGATGCTGCAGCAATGGCGGCTGCCATGACAGTTGATTTCGAGGTCGGCGACACGATTGGCAAGCTCCTCGCCTTTGTCAACCGTGTCCGCACGTCCAGCAGTGGTGTTCGCGACTATCTCAATGAGATCTGTCGTATGTTGAAGCTACCTGCAATCGAGCTTCGTCTTTGGATCCGTACTCGTTGGGCCAGCCTTGCAAATTGCTTGGAAATCGTGCTTCGCATTGCTAAGGTCAGCCCAGCTTCGTGTTACATGCTGCACTTTGCATTTCTAACTGGCCTCCCAGGCGATCGATTTCTTTTGCAAAAACGCTGGAGACAACCCTGATCTTCCACCTCTGACTGGAGGGAAGGAATGGGTCGACTATCTCCTTAGTTCGGAGGAGTGGGAGATGCTACGCCTTGCACACCATTGCCTCACCGTACGTATTCTTATTTCCTACTCGTGAAACCTCGTTTTAAATGATGTGTACATCCTTAGCTCGTAGGCGATCGTCAGAATGAGCTTTCCACTGAGCATGAGCCAACTATTTCGAAGGTCTATCTCATTCTTGAGATGCTGCTTTCAGACTGGGAGGACCTGCTTGATGATTACGAATTTGCTCCAGTTCATGATGCTCTCCGAGCTGGGATTGAGAATCTGAAGAAGTACTATCGGTTAGCCGACGAAACCGATGCATACTTCATCTCGCATGGTATGTCATTTGCTCCAACTTGAATCGATCCATCTGTGCTTATCACGGTTATC